GTGAGTTTTAAGCCACCGGGTCCAGGACACGAACTGCGGTCGACTACGTGGGAGCCCAGCAACATAGCCATTACGCTAACTGCTGGTCCCCCTTTAGAATCTTTAAAACTGGTCCTAGGACTTCCCTTCTCTGCAGAACTATCTACACCATGCTGCACGAAATTTTTAGAAAACTGTAACAGAAAGAATTCTGGGATCCTTGGAATAAGAAGATCCCAATCCAAATACCTACTCAACTATTGAACTGGAACAAGTAAATCAACACCTCTTAGTTTCCAAATCTGTTAAAATAGGAGTTAAAAATAGTAACTAGAAAGATAAATGATATGTGAAAACATTGTCTGACCAATAAGCACTACACAGAAACAAGGTATTCTCTACTAAACTGTACCACCTCCTCTGTACCTGGAAATGGCTGTTTTACTAATCATTCCCTTTTTTTTTTGGAGAGATTTTCACTGTAGGGCGCGTGCGCTCGCCAGACAGACAGAGAGAGACATAGAGACAGAAAGCGAGAAATCACCCCCCAGGGGGGATGGTCACGCCGCAATCCCTTCTCCTCCATTCTCCTCTTGGGATCTTGGGCACGCACGCACACGCGCCCAGCGTGAGTTTTAAGCCACCGGGTCCAGGACACGAACCGCGGTCGACTACGTGGGAATCCAGCGACATAGCCATTACGCTAACTGCTGGTTCCTTTACTAATCATTCTTTGAATGCTAATTCCAACTGAAAAGAGATTAGTTCCTTCCTTCCTACCCTAGATATGTTTCAAAATTTCTAGGCTCCTCAACTCCATAATAAAATCTCTTTCTATAAAGCATGTAAATTAAAAGATAATAAACTTCATTAAAAATGAGTTAAGGCCCCACTACAATGGTGTGCACTGCTAAGATGCTGTGCTCTGTAGGGTGGGATATGAAAGGCCCGGGACTGATTCCCAGTCCAACCTCTTTAGAAATGGTGGTGTGCATCTATAATCCCACTCTCTAGGGGAGGCTGAGGCAGGAGATGAAGGCTGACCTAGGCAAAAGAGAATGATGCTGTCTAAAAATAACTGGGTTTGTAGGCATGCATTTGTTGTCTTAGCTGGGAAGCTGAGGCAGGAGGATCAGGATAGCAAGAGCATGTCTTTATTGATAAAACAAAACAAAACAAAACAAAACATGAACTAAAAAAAAATAATAAAGCAGAGTCAGTAAATTATTGTGTTTAACATTCTTTCTAGGACTTTGAGCAGTTTTATTTCAGTGGTTTCGTAAGTACTGTGATCTTTCTGGATCTATGTCTGTATGAGACTAAAACAGTGTAAGAAAAGAACACATCACAACAACCCTAACTGCCAATCTCACTATTCTGGGTTCTGGTTGAATGTCCTAGACAGATGACTTGTGCTGCATATCACCTTCAGTCTACCTGTCCTAGGGTTCAACTATCCCAAAGTCATATCATTATAGAAAATATTCCATTCCTTAAGACCCTTAATCAAGCTTTCCTAGAAAAGTGAGGTTTATGAAAAGTGAGGTTTATTTTTATTTTTTTTGGAGAGATTTTTGCTATAGGGCGTGTGCGCTCGCCAGACAGACAGAGAGAGACATAGAGACAGAAAGCAAGAAATCACCCCCCAGGGGGGATGGTCACGCCGCAATCCCTTCTCCTCCATTCTCCTCTCGGGATCTTGGGCGCGCACGCACACGTGCCCGGCGTGAGTTTTAAGCCACCGGGTCCGGGACGTGAACCGCAGTCGACTACGTGGGAATCAGCGACATAGTCATTACGCTAACTGCTGGTTCCTGAAAAGTGAGGTTTATAAAAAGAAAAAAAGAGGGACCAGCAGATCGCGTAATGGTTACATTGCTGGACTCCCACATAGTTGACAGCAGGTTGAGTCCTGGACCAGGCGGCTTAAAACTCATGCTGGGCATGTGGGCATGTGTGCTAAAAATCCCGAGAGGAGAATGGAGGAGAAGGGATTGAGGTGTGGCTATTCCCCTTGGGGGTGATTTCTCGCTTTCTCTCTCTTTGTCCCTCTGTCCTCCTCCAGTGAGCACACACAACTGATAGCAAAAATCTCTCTGAAAAGTAAAAAGAAAAAGAGAAAGTAAAAAGATGAGGGCATATGGCAGAAAAGAATGATAGAAAATAGCAACCAAGCATAGACAGATGCTCCCAAAGGTTACAAATACTTACTACACTCCCTCAGACACATAGCACTGTGCTAGGTGGTATGCCCAAGTTAATCCCAAATGACAAAAGTCCTTTCGCACTGCTCAGTAAAGAGGCAACTGAACTGTACTTGCAACACAATAGAAGGGAGGGATGAGAATACAGACTAAGCTTTTTTTTGGAGAGGTTTTTGCTATAGGGCGTATGCACTCACCAGAAAGAGACACAGAGAGATATAAAGTGAAAAATCACCCCTCAGGGGGATGGCCACATCACAATCCTTCTCCTCCATTCTCCTCTCGGGATCTTGGGCACGCATGCACCCGTGCCTGGCGTGAGTTTAAGCCACCAGGTCCGGGACTCGAACCACGGTTGACTATATGGAAGGCCAGCGACATAGCCATTACGCCAACTGCTGGTCCCTAGACTAAGCTTTTATTATTCAGTTTAAGTGTTCTGTTTAATCCTTTAGCGCAGTAGAGAGAGATGGAGCCAGCTGTTTATTGCCTATTTTTTCCCCTTCACAAAGTAAACCTTCCAAGGGCAGGGATCTTTATCTGTTTTTTTTCACTGACGTAGCTACTTGCTTTGAAAAGGTCAGGTAAAAATGAGTAATAGATATTTGCTGGATGCTAAATAACAAGAAAAAGGAGGAGAAAGATAAAAGGATAAAAAACAGAGACAGTGAGACGATAAAGTGTCCAACTCTCTGGGGCCATGTCCTGCAGACAGCTATTATTCTCGATCTATACCATTCAACAAAGTCTTGCTCTCCTCTGTATACTCAGACACGTCACACAATAAGGACAGTACCAGCCAGATGTGTGTTCATGAGCAGCAAGGACTACTACCACTGACCTTGCAGCCAACACAGGTCTGTCGGCAGCAAGTTAGCAGCGAGTAAAGGAACAGGTTCTGGGCTGAGAAATTAGATTAACGAACCAACTTCCTACTTCATTTCATTCCCAAATTTCCATCTCACATTATTTAATTCAGTACCTTTTATGTTTATGCACTGGTCTCACCTCCACAAATCCCAAATGTGTAACTTTTTTTTCCCCCCTGGTCAGAGGATGTGTGTGTTTGCCATAGAGGAATAAAGGAGAGACTCCCCCTAATGGGGCATGGTCACACGACAATCCTCTATTTCCCCATCCTCCCAGGATTTTAGGCATACACGTACACATATAAGTGCTTGGCATGTTCTTCAAGTTACCAAGGCTAGGATTTAAACTGTAGTGGGCCATGTGGGAATCCAGTTCCCTAATCATTAGGCCATGGGGTCTGCCTCCCAAGTATATAGCTTCAATTTTTACATACACACATATGTAACAACCCAGATCAATTTATATAACCTTTCCGACATTGTGGAAGACCCTGTGCTCCCACTGGAAGTAATCACTACTCAGACTTCTACTACTATAGATTAGTTTTGTTGATTATCAAACTTTATATAAATAGAATCATATATTGGGCTGTTGTATGCAAAAATGCATCATAACTTTCCCAACAGTATGTAGTTTATCCTTTTTTAACACTGTATAGTATTGTTATAAAAATATACCACTATTTATTTATCTATTCTACTGTTGAGGAATATTTAGGCTGCTTCCATTTTTTTGTTTTTTAATTTGCTAGTGGGCACATGAACTCACTAGAAAGATGGAGAGGGGTAGAGGGGAGCGGGAGAGAGAGAGGGAGAGAGACAGAAAGTGAGAAAGCAATTCCTAATGGGG